CCTACCTACCTACCTACCTACCTACCTACCTACCTACCTACCTACCTACCTATCTATCTATCTATCATCTATCATCAGCACTATCATCTATCTATCATTATCTAGCTAACTATCCATCTATCATCTATCCATCCATAATCATCATTCTCTAGCTATCTCTAGCTCATCTGTCTGTCTGTCTGCCTGCCTGCCTGTCTACAATCATTATCTATCTATTTATCATCCATCCATAATCATCTTTCTCTAGCTAACTCTATCTATCTAATCTATCTATCTATCTATCTATCTATCTATCTATCTATCTATCTATCTATCTATCTATCTATCTATCATTATCATCTATCTGTCTGTCCACCTGTCTGTCTATCCATTTGTTTGTCTGTCTGTCTGCTTGTTTTTGCCCCTCTGCCAAAGGTGGAACCAGTTTGCCCATGACAAAGAAATATGTTCCTCTACCAACTCAGGAGAAAGGTTAGGAAACCCAGATGCCTGGAGTTTCCAGCTCCTCTGAAACGCCAACTCCACGTTTTCTAACCTCTCATCTTCCCAAATAGGAAGAGACAATCCGTCAGCAAGGAAGGAGCAGATCTCATTTCTGCGCTGCTCATTGGGTAATTTCCAAGAGCCCCTTTTTAACTTTTCATGTCTATCTACCTGAGCTGGTAAATTCACTCCTTGATCTGACAGAGACCGTAATTACTCTGTACAGTAGAAAATGAAGTGCCACCGAAGCTGTCGCTTAAAAAAAACAACAACCCCAAAACCAAACAAAACTCTCTTTTCTGGGTCTCTTATCTGCTTTTCACGGTGAAAAAAGAAGAACGGATAACTCAATTTAAGGCCGTTCATTCCTTTCAGTTCAGGGTTTATACCAGCTCTTGAGATTCAAATGCACTTCATGCATTAGGGCAGATGTCTACAGCTTATTAAAGTAGCCACCTCTTTTCCTTCAGCTCTTCGGAAGAAGCTTCTCGGACGAGAAGCAAAATGTCTTCAAAGAAAAACCAGAAAGTCCAGCTGCCTCTTGAAAAAGCACCTTTGGGACAACCATGACCTGGATGACGGAGAATCTCCATAGGCAAGGAAAGAAACCGATAAGCACCAGACAGTTTTTGCTCTCAAGATTATTCTTTATTGGCTCGAAAGCTAAGTTGTCTCTTCATTCATGGGTCAGCTTTCTCCAAAGGAAACCTGAACTTGAAAAACCGCTTCACTGCTGCAGGATCTTCTGAGATGATACGAGCAGAGCGATCTAACAAAATTGCATGCTCACCACGTCTCTTTTCACAGATGAATGGAGTTGGGAGGGGCCTTGTAGGTCATCTAGTCCAACCCCTCCTTACCCAAGCAAGAGACCCTACACCATTTCCGACAGAGGGCAGTCCAGTCTCTTCTTGAAAGCCTCCAGTGATGAAGCTCCCACAACTTCCGAAGGCAACTTCTGTTCCATCGGTTGATTGTTCTCACTGTCAAAACGTTCCTCCTTATTTCTAGGTTGAATCTCTCCTTGACCAGTTTCCATCCATTATTCCTTGTCTGGCCTTCAGGTGCTTAGGAAAACAGGTTGACTTCCTCTTCCTTGTGTCATCCCTTCAAATATCGGAAGACTGCTATCATGTCTCCCCTGGTCCTTCTCTTCACTAGACTAGCCAGGCCCAGTTCCTGCAACCGTCCGTCGTATGTTTTAGCCTCCAGTCCCCTCATCATCTTTGTTGCTCTTCTCTGCACTCTTTCTAGAGTCTCAACTTCTTTTTTTATAGTGTGGTAACAAAAGCTCAATGCAGTATTCTAGGTGTGGTCTTACTAAGGCTTTACAGAGTGATATTAAGACCTCACTTGATCTTGACTGTATCCCTCTTAATGCAATTTAGGATTGCATTGGCTTTGTGTGTGTGTGTGTTTAAACAGGGCCATTCTGTTTATTTTTGGAAGCCTAGTTTCCAGTTTAACCTAGAGTGTTTCCTTGTTTGAATCAATCAACAAGTGACAATATTTGTTAGGGCTATTTATTCAAACCCGGTTGGGTCACAGTTGCCCCCATGTCACTTCCCTGCTTCTAATTGTGCCAGTGGCACCATTTATTTAGACGTACAACATAGCAAACTGGAGGGTGGGGGAAAACCTATGTTAAACTCAGGGGAAATGTAAAGCAGCAACAACAAACTAAAACTTATTTTATAGTCTGTAGAGAGTCTCCGTCATCCAGGTCTTGGTTGTTCCAAAGTTGCTTTTTCAGGAGGCATCTGGAATTTCTTGGTTATTTTTTTCCTTTTGAAAACGTTTCGCTTCTCATCCAAGAAGCTTCTTCAGTTCTGACAGGATAGTGGGGAATGGAAGGATTGATATTCCTTGCAGGCAGCTGGTCATTTGCATCCTTTTAGAGGGTCATTGAGGCCACCTGGAGGTTTATCTTATTAAAACTTACTAAAACTTTTAATAAAAAGAAAGAAAGAAAAACCACCAAGCTCAAAGAGCACCAAGGACCTTAAGATCAGCTCATTTTCGGTCCCACCTTACACAGAGAGACAAGATGTCCTATCTCTTGGGTTCCGTTGCCAACCTTACTCCGTCTTCCTTAATGGTGTCCCAAATGTGCTTTTTCAGGAGGCAACTGGGCTTTCTTGGTTTCTCTTTGAAGACGTTTCGCTTCTCATCCAAGAAGCCTCTTCAGCTTTGACAGGACGGTGACGAATGGAAGGATGGATATTCCTTGCAGGCAGCTGGTCATTTGCATCCTTTTAGAGGGTCGTTGAGGCACTTGGAAGTTTATCTCTGTCCTCACCACCTGAGTGGTGCAAATGGTTCCTGTAATCTGCACTTTTTTCCCCTCTGGAAATCCATTCTTACTCCCGTACCATTCAAAAGGTGTTCATCCCAAACTGTATAGCTAAAAGTCTGTAGAGATTCTCAGTCTTCTAGGTCACGGTTGTCCCAAAGGTGCTTTTTCAGGAGGCAACTGGACTTTCTTCTTTTTTTTTTCTTTTGAAGACATTTCCCTTCTCATCCAAGTAGCTTCTTCCACTCTGGCAAGATAATGGGGAATGGAAGAATTTAAATTGTACAGCTAAAAGTCTGTAGAGATTCTCAGTCCTCCAAGTCATGGTTGTTCCCTTTTTTTTTATAGAGTTGGTGAAATATTTACTAGTCCTCTCATGGGCTGTTATCTTTAACAGAAACGTCTAAAGTTTGGACAGTAAGTCGGGTTTCCGAAGTTACACTTCCAAAGAAAGGTGTGGAAGACATACAGAAAATAGAACTGGAATCTGGATAGAAAGAGAAGTTGGTGAATTTGGAGCTCATCAGGAGCATTTCTTGGAAGCAACATAAACCCAGGCAACTTCCCTGCTCATATCAACGCATGTCAGCTATGGAAGAGACTGGAGACCTAAGAAAGCAGAATTTTCCTCCAGATCTGGTTCTCTCTGGCTGCAGGCAACGCTTGATGAATTTTCCAAAGCCGTCTAATATCTTGATATTTATGTTATTTATCAGAAATCAGTCTTCTTCCTTGATCCTTGTTGGCAACCCAAGGCACAACATGGCCTGTATTTTATTTATATATAT